ACGTAAGTATTTCACACATCAAAGGTCTCAGAATATTGCAATCTCAACATTCCAGGAATAGCAACGATTAACTATGGTGAACTGAGTTTTGTTATGAGATTCATTGGAAAATATAAAAATAGAGAGGAGGTATAATTTTCGACACGAAATCAAATGAAGCCAGGCATGATGGTGCACACCTGTAACCCCAGCGCTCAAGACGGAGGCAGGAGGAACACAGGTTCCAGGCTATCCAAGACTGCATGGACAGTGCTCGGCCAGCCTGAAGTACATATGAGACCTGGTCTCAAAAATAAAAACAAATAAGCAAGGAAAGAAAAAAACAACACACACACACACACACACACACACACACACACACACACACCCAAGTTGCTAAATGAAGGGCAACATTACAGCCCAAGAAACCAGAAGGAGGTTCATGGAGGTGGAACCACATGAGGATCACAGAAGGCCAGCAATGGAAAAACAGGACAGGGGATCCCGAGGCACAGGCACAGGAAATACTGTGAGTAAAGCACAGATTCTAGGAAAAGGAGAAATACATTTATTTTTTTCCTGTCTGTCTGGGGACCAAAGGTACACAAAGAATAAATGACATAATCTCAGCAGAGGGGACTTGGGGCTGCACTGCAAGGGCAGTGGACACCAGGCTCACGAGCTTGTACCTAAACTTAGAGATGATGGTGCATTTCCTTCCCTCATATTTAGTCGGAATTTTGGAAATGCTCACTGGGGTACAGCTGCAGTTCTGTGCCCTATCTATGTTTTCCATTTGTACCCTCACCTCTGTGGTTGGAGGCTGGCTTATGCAGATTGAATCACAGACTCCACAGGCTCCCTGTGCCTGACTTCTTTTTTGAAAAATATTTTTATTGAGAAACAAATAGCAATGAGACAGTTTCACAACCAACTACTAGTACATTTTTAATAATTAATACATTGCATATTGTTGTCTTAGTGTTATTCGTTGTACAAGATGCAGACCTGATATCCTGTCTCGGACACTATTAGAACAAACCTCTCTATTCATTAAATTAAGAGAATGGAGCTGTATATCTATTCTAAGTATTTTGAGTGTACAGATACAAAATGGTCGTTCATTTGTATCCCCCCTTTTTGGTTAGTTTTGTCAGAGAAGGGCATTCCATTGTCATTTAAGTACTGTAGGTGCATGAATTCTCTGCGCAGGGAGGCTGGCAGGAAAGGACAGTGAAGGGACAGTGTCGGGATCTTGTTCCTCAGCTTCTTTTCTATCAGTGGCACTGAGCTGCCTGCTTCTCTTGTCAAATATCACATGTTCCCTCCCGCAGGTCCCCCCACCCAGGTTTGCTGGTGGGCTCTCACCCCTTAGAATCAGGGTGGCTATAAAGGTTCCTTCTATTCAAATTCCTGAGACTCACTTAATGTATCTCCCACCGAGACCCCATGGATGCTTTAAGTAATAAAAAAGGACACTGGTGACAACAGTGGCTAGACACCCCAAGGCCCTTCCCCTAGAACTGTGTTCCTGGCTTTCATTTGGCACAAACTGAAAGAAGAAAGGAGCTTGGCACAGGTGGGGGAATGACTGATTCCTTGAGATAACCGAGATGAATGTGTGGTTACTGGAGGTCTGTCTCCTCTTTGGCTTGTTAAATCTGACTATTCCCATAGGCTGAGGTCAGGTATGCTGCCTCCTGCCTTCTCTCTAGACATTCTAACCCTTGTAGCTTTCATCCCCCAAGTTGGTATTGGATGTCCTTAAAAGTCTGTCAGCCATTTTTTTAAATCATGGGTTGATTTAGCAGCTTTATTTAGAACAGATTAATTAGCTCCAAATCATGTAACATACGGAAGTTAAGTGTAAGGGGGTCAAGGGTGGAAGATCGGTTTCCAGGTAGGAGGCTTATATCCACATGCAACCAACCTTCATGGTCATTTAGAAAATGTCAATCATTCTGAGTTTTGTCTTGGACAGCTAAGTAAAATTTACTTATCTTCAAGGAAAAGAAAATAAGCAGCTTAAGAACTACTATTATAAAAAAGCAAATTAAAAGGGTAACAAAATCTCATTTTTAATTTTAAAATGTTTTTACAAAATATTTATTTAAGACTGGGCATAGTGGGGAGCACCTGTAATCCCAGCACTTGGGAGGCTGAAAATAAGTCCGATCTGTGTAGTCAGACCCTGTAGACCCTATACTAAATACATAAAAAAAACCCCATTTATTTGGTACAGGGTCTCACTACGCAGCTTGGATTCATAGTGATGTTCCTGTTTTAGCCTCCCCAGCACTGAGATTATAGGCATGAATCATCATGCCTGGTTTCAATGGGTGATGTGGCACTGGGCCAGCACCGGCATGGGGTACCTGGGATAGAACCTGCGTCCTTGTGCTTGCCAGGCAGGTGCTTAGACAGCCCAGTTAGCTCCCAAGCCCCTCATTTTTAATTTAGAAATGTTCTCTGTTATATTTCAGTCACAGTGCATTTAGATACCCACAGATTAATACTCCTAATATTGTTATACTGAAATTGAATTTCAGCCATAGTCAATGATAAGAAAAGTCTTTGTTCTAGACCTGAACCACACACCAGGTCACATGCGCCAAAACAAACACAACAGTGTGAGGCAGAGCTGTGACAGAGCTGGGTCAAGGTTTTGTGCCCAGGACATTTTTAAATGCTAGAAGGAGTCATGCTTATGGACAAAAATGTGATACAAAACCAGTCATGACTGGAGTGCCTCATCCTTCTGGCATTTAGAAGATCTCCAACCTCAAAAGGTGGCATCTTGCCCAAATTCAACAGAACCTCTCATCTAACAGCATGGTGGCTCAGCTTGTTCAGTGGGCTATTTCTCTAAAGCAAGTAACTAAATTTACAGCAATAGTTTGGATCCTTGCTTCTCAAACAAGTCTCCAACTCATTAAATGTCATTTTTAAAAAAGCTTGCAAACACGATTTAACTACAGTCTATCAACTTGAGGCATTTCATTACCAGGTAGTTTATCCTGCTAGTGTCTATATTTTATTTTCCAATTTTCATAAATGCAAAGGGTACCTCAGCCAGTTCTCAGCTCCTCAAACTGCTGACAACACACATCATGCCAGATATAAATATTTACATCGTCAAAAATAAATGTTTCCAAAAGCCCAAACTCCAGTGCATCTGAAAATTGATTTGGATCCGGTATACATAACTAAATTGGAAAGATTAAAGAAAACCACCCATCAAAAACAAAAAAGACTGACAACAACAGTAACACACGTAGTATGAGAAGGACTTTTAACACCAGGTTATCACCCAGTCTTCTCCCCAATAATTTTAGGGAGAACTAGCTGGAAATGTTTCTTTCATTTACATCACCATTTTCTTCTAAGATGAGCTATGGAAGGTGGAATATAAATTCACTGTTTTTGTTAGTTTTCCATCTTTCCATTGCTTATGTATACTTTACCCCAGAAAATTTGAGGTGCATGCTGTAACTCAGGAAAGAATAGATCCTAGCACAGCCTCACAATCTGTCCTCTGCCATCTTCACTACCCTGCCTCCCAGCCATTTGCAAGCACCCCTCTCTTTGGTCTCTGAGATCTATTCTTTTGGCCAGCCTCTAGGTAATCTCTGGAACTCAGGCACCACATTCCATTCTGTTTACACCTACTGCTTTCCCCTTTGCCTAGAATTCGATGACATCCAATCATCCTCTCCAAGGATGACTGAGCATTTAGTCCATGTTCCATCTTTCCCTTCTTAAACTGTGATCAGGAGGCTCCCATGTGTTCATGACTAGAAAGCATGCACTGTTTTGGAGAGAAGTACATGCGGAAGCAGGGTCAAGTTTCCTTTAAGTTATAGAGAAACTAAAACAATAATTAGAGTATCTTGGTTTCATGCAGAATCAGAGCACTCAACCAAATGACCTACATAAGACCTCTCTAGAAAAAAAAGCTTCCCAAGTCAAATTCAAAACAGCATACAAATGAGCCATAGCTAAGTAGTCTCAATCTCCCATGCAATGTCTTTTAAAACAGGCTTTATGCCATGAGTCAAACTCACTAGCACTGTTTGGTGAGACATTAGGTTTGTGTGTAGATAGATATGACCATTATGCGGTAGACAACATACTCTAATTATTTTGAAAAGGGAAACACAGAACTTAGCAGCTCATTGTTGAAGATGACGAACAGATTCCACGAGAGAAGGAGTGGATAGAGATCACTGAGCCCACACCTTCGACAATCAACCTCCAGCAGTAACAAAAGTTGTTTATAATTTCACCCTTGTTTGCACACCGGGGATTTCCTGTTGCTCTTGAATTCACAGTAACTGGATCACCCTGAGACACAATTTTCTCTGCGTGCAGGGTTTTCCCCCACGTTAACAGTAAATGGCAGCTGAACAGAAAGAAGCAGCAGGTACAATGCTAGAGCCCAGCGGAGAGAAGACACTGTGTGTACCATGCTCTTCTACAAATGAAGGAGGAGCTTGTCAAGAGAACAGGAGCAGGCAGGAGGCATTCAGATGTGAGAATCACAGAGCACAGCTCAGCATTTTCTCTCAGGAGCAAAGATTCTTAGCCAGCAAGATGGCCCTAGGAAGATTAAGTATTGATTTTCTTATAAATCACCTAAGATTGTTTGTTTTTCCTCCAAGGATGGTAAACATCTGATTTTACTTTCGTTCAAATTTTCCCCTGTATTGAGGTTAAAAGCAGGCCCAGTAAACAGTCTCTGAGGAAAGGTTTTCCAGCATACTATGCAGGGGAGACAACTGCATTTTCAGACTCTCATGATGTACCAGGGGGTAGAACCTCAGGCAACCTCCTTGGACTGCACAATAATTAGAAGCATGAGAGACTGACTAGGTAGGGAGAAAAAGCACAATTTAGACATAATTATTTTTGTTGGCAGTGGGCCTGAGTGGCAGGACAGACTGAGAGCTGAAGGATTAGGTTTCAGATTCAGCACTGACCCCAGTCTTCAACTTCTCCATCGAATCAACTGTCTGGCTTACCTTCCTGCCCCCAGTGTTGATGCGAAGTGGCGTCAGGAAGGGGTCGAAGATCATGTGACTCGTCTCTATGTTGACCGGAGACTGCCGTTTCCCCACAGAGCAAAGATTCCAAGCTGAGTTCACCAATCCCCAGAAAGAAGGAACTAGAGACAAAAGGAAGGTAGAGAATTAGGCTGGTATAGAGTTAATGCTAAAATCTTCACAGTGATGGAGATCCTGGGGGGTTGCTATGAAACTTTCCTAGTCTGCATCTAAGTCTAAGATCTATATTCAGGGCCAGCGAGATAGCTCAGCGGACTTTGGCAAGTGCAGGAAATAGGGTTTGATTCCAGTCATGCATGACACACCAGCCTCACCCCGCCCGCGGGGCGTGCTGAGCCAGTGGTTGAGACCGTGGGGCATGCCTGTAATCCCAGTGCTGGGGAGGCTTAAAAGAGGAAGATCATTATGAGTCGAAGCTATGTGGTGAGATCCTGTGCCAAATATCTTAAAAAAAAAACCCTACATTCAGGATCTTTAGAAGTCAGATTTTTCTTGTCGCAGCCCCACTCATCCTGTGGTTTCTTCACTGAGAACATCTAGCTTTAATATTTCATTACTACAGCATCTTTTAAGACACATCAGATTCTGCAACACTTACAAGAAACATCAAATACATACCAAGGCACTGAGGTATTTTTTTTTTTTTTCTTTTCAGTACCAGGGATTGAACTCAGGACCTTGTGCTTGCCAGGCAGGCTCTTCTGCCACTGAGCTATATATCCCAGGTGCTAATATTCAGCAACTCTACGATTGATGCTCCATTTTACTTCTTGGCAGAAATGATGTGAGTATCAACCTTGTCTAATCTAGATGACATTTGATGCTTTTCAAAGACAGCGTCTTTGGACATATACAAGGTGTTTTGCTGTGGGTTGTCAAGAACAAACTGAGGGAGTGAATTATTTTTATGACCCCCCAATCAATACTAGACAGGAGCCTGGTGACTTGACTTTGTCTCTGTTTGGATCAGCACTGTGTCATTAACCTAATGTTCCAGCAGCTAAGGAATGTGATCATTTGATAGGCAGAAAAAATGACAATGACATTGAGTACTGCGTGCAAATATCCAAAGGAAAGCTGTCTGTTGTGTCCAGCATCACATGAAAACGTCAATCTGGAGACATCTTATGGAATGTCTAGTCCCATTTTCTTCTATCTAAGAAAGCTAGCAGGCTATACAGAGTGCCAGTCTTCTGACTTGTGTATCAGGGAAGAAACTATAGCTTCAGCCTTTAACTGCCTCTCTCAGTGCTTCTGTTGAGGATTGAGGATCCACGCATCCTCCATGTGCCCTTGAGATTATATGGCCATTCATTCAGTCATCCATCCGCAGTATGAAAATGTGAACTCCTACCTCCATGTCCAGCCCTGAATCACGTTGAATCTTGAGATAGCCAGATAGGCACAGGACAAGAAATCCACCAGGAAGCTGAGTGTATTGTGATGCTATGGGTAAGGGCCACCCACTCTCTCCCTGGTGAGGCC